CGAGAGGTTTCTGCACCGATGGCCTTGTAGGCTTCCAGACAGTCTTTGCAACGTCCGTTCCTAAACACACTGTGGTACCGTGCATCGCCGTCTCGAACGCGAAAAGAAACGTCCAGGAAATGAGTTCCTTCTTCGTCGCAGAACGCGCATCTCTCCAAAAGGGAACTGTTCGAGGCTGCGCTCCATTCTTTCCAGTGTTTCTTCAATTTTTCTTATACGGCCGCTAACAATCGCGTCCTGATCGACTATTTTCCGGATCTCCTGCGTCGGTTCATCTTTGTCGGACGTCGAATCTGGTACGTCACTCTCTCCGTTAGCTTCTGCGACCTCGCTCACCATTCTGTTCCATAGCTGCCTCATCATTCTGTAAGTCTCGGACTTCTTTTTTTAGCTGTCGAGCAGGTCCTCGGATGTTTCTTCAGGGTCGCTCTCTTCCAGCTGCTTTACAGGAGGTGTCTTTCCCCACAATCCTTTGTGGAGAGCTGGAAGAAACACTATTTGAAGTTTGAGCATTTTCACTGCACTGATTTCTGATATGAGTCTGAATCGAGTGGTAATGACTCGAGTCCTTCTCTCACAATTTTTTGGATTTGAAAAATCGTAAGACAGTCTTTCTTCTTTATTTCGTTGTCTTGATGTTGTAGCATAGCTGACATCTCTTTTATTCCGATAGCTAGGATGTCTCTCTGACTGCTATCTGTGCTAAATTGCTTCCGATACAAATGAATAGTCGCGACTACGCTCAAGAAAACCTTGACGTCTGAAAGTTGAAGAGTAACCTTACTTCGTCATGTGTTCCCAAGGATACTTTCCTTCGTCACCTCGGCCTCCCGCAGGCACTACGCTGTCGACGCAATTGCTCTTTGCTCGGAAGCAAACTTGTCCCTATTGGGGGGGGGACTGTTGCGACTTCCTTCTGACGATGAAGGAAAATGTCTGCTGTTTCCATTTCCATTTCTATTTATGGTGGTCCAGCAAGCGTATCCTCGTCATATCGGTGAGCTGCTCCCAGTCTCCCTCTTTCTTCTTTAATCGCCATTCTAAAAATAGGAAAAACGCATGCTATGAGCTTTTTGTTGAGACCCATAATCATAATTTTGTAACTCAAATTTTTGAACTTTCGAAATATTTGTGTCATCATTGCATGAGCGTGATATCTAGAATCAGTATATTCCCATATGGAGGGTATCAGACGCGAATGGCATGTGGTGCGAATTCTATGCACGATTCTCTTCGGGACTGGCTGTTTCCAGCATCTCAGAAACGCGAATTTTGCAAAAACTTTTCCCTGTCAAAAGCTCTGTTACAACGTCTGAAATTCCCTGGGCTACGGAAATCGCAGATATATACGTTTTCATTGTGTGGTTCACGGTGTTTGTGATTTGGTGAGTGCAGCCTGACTTCATCAGGGACGCTTCGCATGTGCTTTGTGGTGCTTTTCTCATTGGGAATAGATTGCGCCACGAGAAACGATAAAGCCATTATAATCGTTACCAGACCTAGCATTTCACTCGCTTTAAACGGCAAGGAAGTGGACCTCACTGTACAAAGTTACGAAAGTAATCTACGCGTACCCTCGGGGCAGGTTGTAATGAGATCTGATTTTTCAGTATGAGTGTTGATCCTTGGTTTTTGCTCATCTGATGGTTCCTATAGAAACGAACCCAAGGCCCTCTGAATGTTGCAGTGATAAGGGAGTAGAATCACTGTTTCTTACAATATTGTTGGAGTAAGGAATGAGGGCTTCAATGCGACCCGATTTCCAGGAATGTCTAGGTTGAAGAGCGTCACAAATCAGTACTATTTTTCCTACTTCGGGCGTATAGCTACTTCCTCGCTGCTTGCCGACTTCGCGCTGGTGCTTTTCTCTTGAATACGCTAAGTACTCGATTTGCTATGCCGTCGAATTTCGAAATTATCCTGTAGTCAATTGGTCCTTTGGTTTTTTTCTCGATCCTGATTCGCCGTAGAGTAGTGGCCTGGTATTTGGCATTGCTTCTATTTCTGTTAGAACCGTGAGAAGCTCTTTTGCTGAGAGGTTTTCTTTGCTTGAAGCCTGAATAGGGCAGTTTCACAGATCTTATTGAAGCTTTCATAAACTCCTCCCTGCCAAGGGGCAATGGGATTGTATATCAGATTGGAAAGAAAGTCTTGTCACTGTTGTGACTTTTTTCTTTTTTATTTTCTAACTCAACATGCAGTGGGAATTAGTCAACAATATACTCGTCATTGTTAGCCACTACAGTGCTTCACCTAATGGGCAGGTAAGCATTCCTCCTCTCTCTCGAAACATTGGCGAGACTGACAGTCGAGTAGTCGGCGGCCCTTCAACTGATGTCATCAGACTTGCCGACAGTTTTCTTAGCTAAGAAA